ATTAACCTCATGATGATAAGCAGCCAAGAGGTTGCCAAAGAAATCTACACTGTCCATGACAAGGTCTTAAACCGACCAACCGTCACTGCGTCTAAGGTTCTGGGCTACAACGACTCGTTCTTGTCGTTCAGCCCTGAACGTTCTTACTGGAGAGAAATGCGCAAGATATCAGTATCGGAGATTCTATCCACCGCGGTCGTTGATATGCAGTGTAGTAGAGCCGGGGAGGTTGAAGTGACGTTGAGAGATTTATACCGGAAATGGGAGCAAAAGGGTGGGCCAAAAAATGGAGTCTTGGTGGATATGAGGCAAGAGTTTCATGATCTAATCCAGAACATCTCGCTGATGATGGTCGCGGGGAAGCGATACTTCGGAGGAAGCCCTAACTGCGACACCGGAGAGGCGAGGAGATGTAGGAAGCTGATACGAGAATTTCTTGATTCCTTCGGGGTCTTCTTGTTTACGGATCATGTACCGTGCCTTGGTTGGTTGGACTGGAGGACTAAGAAGGGCATGAAGAGAACGGCTAGTGAGTTAGATAAAATTGTTGAAGCTTGGGTTGAAGAACACAAGAAAAGGACGAATTCTGGTGGTGACATTAACAAGACTTTCTTGGGTCGACTCATCGAGATCTTTGAACAACACAAGAATCAGGGTCTTGGCGATGCTCATACAACAACCAAGGCCCTATGCCTCGTAAGATCTCACAAAACTTTTAACCTATAGCAAGTATAACAAAGGGTCATGTGTTTATGAGCTAATAATCTGTTATATGTGTTAACATTCTTGGAAACTAGAACTTGGTATTATCAGGGCCAGAAGCAGCCACTGTGGTTCTAATTTGGGCTGTTTCGCTACTCGTGAACGACCCACACGTGCTAAGCAAAGCTCAAGAAGAGCTCAACCGTAAAATTGGCAAAGACAGAGTTGTGGAAGAATCAGACCTTAAAGATTTGGTGTACATACAAGCAATTTTGAAGGAGACATTCCGTTTGTATCCACCACTAACTCTCACCGGTTATAGGGACGTGATGGAAGATTTCAACATTTCCAATGGGAACTTTCATGTTCCTGCAGGTAAACATCCGAAACTCAAACAAGTGATCCTTTCAAATGAAATAAACACTGATCAAACGATTTAGGCACTTAAAAGCTATTAGTCAACAAATATAATAAGGTCAAACTTATAAGATATTACACATATCAAAGGTCTTTTTATTTTTATTTTATTAATGATTTTATGTTAAAGAGCTGTGAGCTTCATGAATCATGATTCTAGTCTCTTTCTTTGAAGAGTTATATGATCTTATTTCATGTCGAATAATTAGGAACACAGTTGCTCGTAAATGCCTGGAAGATGCATAGGGATCCGAAACTTTGGTCTAACCCGGAAGAGTTTGAGCCAGAGAGATTCTTGACATTAAACAGAGAAGTGGATGTTAGTGGGCAGAGTTACAAGTTTTTCCCGTTTGGGTTGGGACGAAAGGCGTGCCCCGCGATCCCCCTTGGTATGAGGATGGTGCATTATGTTCTAGCAAGGTTCTTGCACAGCTTCGATGTGGCAAGACCATCGAGCCAAGAGGTGGACATGACCGGAAACAATGGGTTGGTCAATCTTAAAGCCACTCCTCTTGAAGTCTTCATCACTCCTAGGCTTAATAGATCTCTTTACCACATGGAATCCGATCAGGCTTGATTAGTCCTTTATAAATATTTTGCTGAGACTAAGTAGCCAAAATATTTCGGTATCGTTCCATGATTCCACATTTATCATGTTGTTTATGGAAGACTAATCCCGTGGAAATTATAAGATATTTGGAATATGTTTTTTGACATCAATTTTTGCCGCACCAGCCTGATCATAAGATAGCGTTAGACATAAGCTTGAGATCTCGGATAAACTTCTTTAGTAGCATGTAGCTGTACGAAGGCTCAGAATCGAATATTACTTAATGAAAATTGAAGGTTAGAAACTGTAGTAAATAATCAGAACACTTGTAGAAACTAAACCATGGTTTATAATATCATCCAAAAAAAGGCATCATCCGTAAAAGTTAAGCAGGAGAGAGGACTGGCTCTGAAATTTATAGAATTGAGGTTTGCAAGACAGATGATATAAATTATGGTTTGAGGTCCTCAATAAAGTATTTTGGTGAAATTGTTGGAAAAGAAGATGTCGTAAATAATACATTTCTACCTTTTACTAAAATAAACATGGGAAGTTATAATACAATCCGATAAGACTCTTGACATTTGGTTACAACACTTTACCAGGGCTTTATAGGTGCTGCTTTGTCGTGTCACAGTCTAAATTAAGATTCGGTCTTGTATATGTAAGTTGTAGATTTCCTTTGAAAAATTAATACATTTATAAGGGTGAAAAAAAAACAAAAAAAAAAACATCATAGGCAAGGGAACGAATCTTTTGTCCACACACTCCGTGTTGTCTAAAGAGTAAAGTACGTGATGCAACGGACTCATGCAATTTAAGGAGCCATGCAAATTGATGGAGCTTAAACATCATGCAGCCGGGACACTCGTTTCTTTTCTCTCGTCGGCGATCATGCGCATGCGTTTGTAATTACAGACATTCTTGTCGTCTATTCTTCTATTAATGGTCGACTATCATAAAGTCAACAAATGTACTTTCATAAGCCATGCAAATTGAAATGTGTCCGCTCCTTCATGATCCTAATACTTTTCGAGTAATATAAACAGCATAAGAAGGTCTTATACTAAACATACAAAACTTGGTAAGATGGCAAGCCAAACCAAACCAAGATCTTCTACATTACTCGAAAAGAAAGAAATCGAGTTTGTTAAACCCTTAAAACACACACCTTGTGGAAATCTCTCCCTTTCTAGTTTAGACAACAGCCTTGTCAACGAAGCTATGTACGCATTTATTTACGTTTTTAAGGCAAACCAAAGAAACAAAAATGATCCGGTCTCTTTGCTTAGGAAGGCTTTGTCCGAACTTCTTGTGTCCTATTATCCACTTTCAGGCAAGCTACTGAGACGAAAAATAGATCGAAAGTTGCAGCTAGTTTGTAACTTGGAAGGAGTCCCTTTCGCTGTTGCCACCGCAGATCGTGATCTCCGCTCTCTAAACTATATTGAAAACCTTTCTGATGAATTTGCATTGCAGCTTGTGCATGAGCTCGATGTCAACTATCAAAGTGAGATCGGTTGTCATCCTTTCTCTTTGCAGGTATCTTTATTTCTTTCTCATAAATCTAAACCGACCAAATGTAAATAGGATCTAACGAAAAATAATATATTAATTCCTTTGGATTTTAAAGGTGACCAAATTTCCTTGCGGTGGATTCACCATTGGCATAGCAGTGACACACGCGTTGTGTGATGGCTATGGTGTGGCTACGATCTTCAATGCTCTAACCGAGTTAGCCAGTGGAAAGAGCGAGCCATCGGTAGTGCCGGTATGGCAAAGAGAAAAAATGGTCGAGAAATTAGACGATGAACCGGCTAATGTACCCGGCGCTGATAAGGAATGTCTTTTGGCCATATCACCATATATGCCAAGCTCAAGCTGTGATATGGTATGTTTATTCAAATCAATTTAGATCACTAAACTTTTCAAGTTTATCAGACAAAAAGTGATATCTTCGAAAATTTTCCTTAATTTTCTTTGTTTTTGTAATTAAGTAGAAAAATTGGGTTTCAAGCAAATTTCTCACCTTTGTATATGTAATATTCCATAGGTTATAGAGACAATAGACATTACGGCTGAAAATATGAAAAAGCTTAAAGACAAAGTGGTACTTAAGGAGAGTTTCACTACTTTTGAAGTTCTTTGTGCTTACCTATGGAAATCAACTTCTCGGGCCCTAAAGCTAAACATAGACGGCATCACTGTCCTCAAAATATCTGTCGGAATTCGACATGTTCTAGACCCACCACTCCCCGAGGGATACTATGGTAACGCTTACGTAGACGTCTTTACTGAGATTACTGCGGGAGAGCTGGATGAATCATCGATCTCTGACATTGTAAAGCTCGTGAAGAGAGCCAAAAAGACAGCCCTAGACAAGAGGTTTATCGAGGAGCAGCTAAGGAACACGGAGAGACTGGTGAAAGAGGATGCGAAATTCAAAGGGGTAACCGATGGTATATTGTTAATGACAGATTTGAGAAATACCGGATTATTCAGACCAAATGATTTCGGTTGGAACGAGCCTGTGAATATATGGCCGTTGACGCCTCAGGAGATCCCAAGCAACATTGGAGTTATCATGAGACCTTCGAAGTTGGATCCATCAATGGAAGGTGGAGCTAAAGTTGTCATGACATTGCCAAGAGATGCAATGGCTGATTTCAAGAAAGAGACTAATAATATGAATAAACTTTCTTTTAGTAAGATTTAATCCAGCTGTTCCATGACTATGAGTGAAATTTTCTATATGCGAATGCTACATGCTTATGTAATGAACTAATGACTAATGAATAATAATTAAGTAAGGAATAAAATTGTTGAAGAAAAAATATCACATCACATCATGACCACTTAACGTTTTTAAAAAACTTTTGTCCGTCCACCAGAAACTCAAAAATAAATGATGAAAGTCGAAAATAAATTATTTTATTATTGTTATATATTTATATATATGTATATGATGTCTGTACTTAAAGTACACGATTCTTATCATATAGCTGATGTGTGGGAGACATGCACTGTCATAAGCCATGCAAGTGGAAATGTGTCAAATTAATAACTAGATATATATATATATATATATATATATATATATATATATGCAAGCAAACAACTCTATAGATAAATCTGTTTTTATTTTTGTCCTATTGTTGTGTTTTAACATGAAGCCACAAATTATATCAAGTACTGTTAACTAATAATTTTTATGAAGGAAAAAAAAAGCTTGAAAACACTTCACTATATAAATAACATTAAGAGGTGTATACATTCATGAATCTGGTAAGATTAGAACCACAAAAAAAAAAAAAAAAAAAAACTTAGCAAGATGATAAACCAAATCAACCCGAGCCTTCCTCTATTACTCGAGAAGAAATCAGTTGAGCTTGTTAAACCTTCAAAACACACTCCTTCTGGAAATCTCTTCCTTTCTAGCTTAGACAACAACCCTCTCGACGAAATTAGGCATGCAATCGTTTACGTTTTCGAAGCAAATGAAAAGAATCAGAATGATCCGGTCTCTTTGCTAAGGAAGGCTTTGTCTGAACTTCTTGTGTATTACTATCCACTTTCAGGCAGGCTAGTGAGACGGAAAAGTGATCGAAGGTTTCAGCTGGTTTGTAATAGTGAGGGAGTCCATTTTGTGGTCGCTGAAGCAGCTCCTGATCTTCGCTCTCTAAACTATATAGAAAACTTTGTTGATGAAGTTGCATTAAAGCTTGTGCCTGAGTTCGAGCCTAACTACGAAAATGAGATGGCTTGTCATCCTCTCGCTATGCAGGTGTAGTTTTGCTTACAAAACATATATAAGGCTTTGAATGGTGATGATAGATAAAAGACAAGCTAAAATGTTTCTTTTCATAAATTATGCATGTCTTGGTTATAGTTTGGTCTAATTTTCTCTCTTATTTTTTTCTTGCATTAGACACTTTTTGAAATGGTAATATAATTCATATCAGATATTAGTGTGTAAACTAACTAGATCTAAATTCAGAAAATTAAGAATTGTTCCTTTTTATTTATTTGAAGGTAACCAAATTTCCTTGCGGTGGATTCACCATTGGCACAGCAATGTTACACGCGGTTTGCGATGGGTTCGGTGCGGCTAGGTTCATTCATTCTCTCACCGAGTTCGCCAGAGGAAAGACCGAGCCATCAGTACTGCCCGTATGGCAGAGAGAGCGGCTAGTTAGGATAACAGACAATGAACCAGCTAGAGTTCCCTGCGGTGTCGGTTCTAGAGGGAATCTTTTGGCCACTTCACCATATATGCCCACTAGTGATTTGGTATGTTTATAAACCTTTTTATTTTTTCGATGAAGGAAAATAACAATTGGATATTATGAAAAAACATGATTAATTTTGCCTTTGTTTTCCGTGATGCATAAGGTGTACTATCATTAGATAAAAATGTAATTTTGCCTTTTTTTCTCTATAAACATTATACTATGATTCAATAGACTTGATCATTTAAACAAATTTCTCATTTGTGTATATGCATTCCGCAGGTTACAGAGATAATAAGCATCAAGGCTGAGAATATAAAAATGCTTAAAGATACTTTGGGTAGGGAATGCGAATTCCCAAACGAGAGTTACACTACTTATGAAATTCTTAGTGGGTGCTTATGGAAATCAAGATCTCGAGCACTAAACCTAGATCTTGACAAGATCACTGTCCTTGGCATAATTGTGGGATTCCGACATGTCCTTGATCCGCCACTCCCCGAGGGTTACTACGGCAACTCAGTCATAGACGTGTACATGGAGTTAACCGCAAGAGAGCTACAAGAATCATCCATCTCTGACATTGTAAAACTCGTGAAGAGAGCCAAGAAAAAAGCTTATGACAAGAGGTATATCGAGGAGGAGATAATAAACACGGAGAGAATGATTAATGAGGATACGAAATACCACGAGAGAATCGATGGATCATTGTTCATGACCGATATGAGACATATTGGGTTTTTGGGATCGATGGATTTTGGTTGGAACGAGCCTGTGAATATGAGGGGTCTGATGTTCCAAGAAAGCAGCAACTTGGGGATGATCTTAGGACCGTCGAAACAGGATCCATCTACAGAAGGTGGGGTTAGAGTGGTAATGACATTGCCGAGAGATGCAATGGTTAAGTTCAAGCAAGAAATGTATGCTATGATGCATCTTCGTCCTCGCTTTTGATCTTTCTCTTTGTCATCTTACTCGTCTTTTATGGTATAATATTGTAACATTATATTGGACAGACAATATAAAAACAATGTTACATACTTACATTGGACAGACAAGAAAACTCTCCGGACTGTCGAACACGTTTCTCAAACTTGTACAACTTCAAGAAACATGTGCTCTGGTTTCCCATCAATGGTTTTCCTCATAATGGCTTTGTGATCACCAGGCCAACCTGTTGAAGGATCATCATCATTACACTTGTAACTTACGTAGTAGATTGCGTTTCCCGCCTTGAGCGCCTCTGTTGTGTCTTCTTCTTTAGTTTCAATGACCACCTTCTTTATCTCCAAGGGCGTGTAAGCCTCAAGTGTCTGCAAAAAGAAGAAGGATCACTTTCTTTCTTTTTTTTGTTTTGGCAGAGAATACATTGCAATTTTAAAGACTTACACACTGTTTTTGCGTAGAAGGCAATTTCCGTGAATAGATGAAGCCAGTCATTCTCCTGCAGCTCTGATTCTTGCACCTGCGATGATGATAACATTTCACACAAACACAAGTTGCATCTTCTCAAGCTAAAACTTGATGTTGCAGAGTCAAAACAGTAGTGGACATGATCTTACCACGTAATACTTTTTATTGTCACAGGCCAAGTCATCATCAGACAACCAATTGGGCATCTCACCTTTGTAGAAGTCATCTATTGCCGTATCGTCCCAATAACCATTCAAACCTTTGTTACCTTTAAAAGTGTTGTCTATAAACAGTTAGTCCTCTATTTTTCTGTATAAACCAGAACTCTCCTAACGTACGATCATTAGAGAGATTAAAGTCAAAGACAAGCCAACAAGCGAAGCGAATGGTAATAAAAGTCTTATTTACGTACGTACATTTGATTCTGGAGGCTAAGATCCTCCACTCAATGAATTCGCTTGAATATGAAACGTTGCTTAGTAGCGTCTGAGGACAAACAAAGAAGTGGTTATCTCATTTGAGGACACAAACAAAAAGTGTAAGATACTGTGTGAAATTTGTGTTAATATTTTTATTGGCCCAACCTTTTTATGATTTAAATTTAAGTTTTTTAGCTAAAAAAAATTAAAACTATTAGATTTGTGTGGGACCCTTACAGAGGGAAAGTTTGAGTAGTGAACGAAAAATTAAACTTGTAGATCTTTTTTCTCCTGCGATCAAAGTTTAGGGTTTGACGAACTACAAAAATGGGGGATGATAGCTGGAGGAGCATCGTGGACAAAGAAATTGCGAATGAAGCTTCGTCAGAGAAGGATGATGGTTTTGAGGATTTCCGTCAACTGGTAAATCATTTGTCTCCCTTATCAATATTCTGAATTTTCTTCATAATTCAATCATGTTCATCTTCAGATCACTAGTTTCTCCATCTGCTTTTACATTCATCATTGGGTTTTCTCATAGGTAGCTACTTCTCGAAAGCAAGCCACGGATACGTCAATTGTCTCGTCCGGGTATGGGGGTTTACTGTGTGGCAGATTCAAGAACGTTCCAGATACCGATGTAAGATGTTTTTCTCTCTTTCTACTATATTTTTTATAATGGTCAGATCATATGGTAAATTGCATATGCCTTTCAACTATCTCCATCTCAAAATCGTAATCACTCTCTCAGGTTGTTAATTCATCAGCAATCTCTGTTTTTCTTTTTCATTGGATGTTGATAATATAGTTGTGAATGTGCGTAGCGTTTTGATATGCGTGATGACATAGAGCCTCAACAGTGGCGTGATTATTGACATGGGCCTCTCCGCTAAAGTTGGACTTCTTTGCTACAATATTCAGAAGGTTCTTCTTTCTTCTTCTTACCCTCTTTTATTGCACACTTTCTCATGTCGACTTATATATCATCATCTCACAGACTACAAGTTTGTCTTTGTGAGAAATGCAGATACTGATTATAATTCGGGCTACGAGACGGGTTTCACCAAGTCGTACATCACAGTGGTGGGAGTGAATCAAACCGACAATTCTCCAATCGCTTTTCAGACGTACGTTAATCATAACGATCAAGTAGTTGGGAACAACATGGACCAATGGTGGGAGACGTGCATTTGCAGGCTGGAAGGTATTACATCATTGTTATGTTGCCTCCCTCCATCAGCCATATCAAAGCACTCATGAGAGAGTCATGACCTGTTTTTTGTTTTTGTTTTTTGGGTGATAATAAAGGTAGCGAAGAGGCTGATACTGAGTGGAACTATGAAGCAATAAGTGATTATTACAAAGGTGAAATCCCCCAATGGTTGTCTGATGAGGATAAGCAACGATGCTATGTGGTAACGCTTGCTGCATGTAGATATATAGTTGTCATTTAAATATGTTGATGTTGAGAAAAAGTCATGTCTTGCATGTTACTGAAGATTGGGTTTGTGGATCATTTAGGTTAAAGGGTCAGAGCTGGAGGACATGGACAATATGTGGCTGCATCTCCTCACTGAGATTGCGTTCTACACAAACTGGAATGGATCGCTTGGTCCGGATTTTATTGCGGAATACCCACCAATGTTGACGACTCAAGAGGTGGTTGTGGAAACTCGAGAAGAAGTTGATGAGGCAGAGCCGCGTGATAAGCTCAAAGCGCCCAATGCAATCTTCTACGTAAGCTTTCAGTGTAGTGAGGATCCAGAGACAGGTGAGTTGGTTGATTATCAAGCGGTTGTGCGTAAGACGATGGATGGGAAACCGGGACACATGCGCCTCGATGTTAGCTGCTGGAACATGTGATCAAGGGAGTGAATCAGAGATTAAGTTCCAGTAACTTTCTTTAGTGAGGTTTGACTTGTCAAGTAATATTCTCATTATTGACTATTTGACAACGAAATTGTTGACTATTTCCGAAGTGGTTAATATGATATTGTCCTTGCTTCTCAGCATTTGACATTTTTTAAATCAACTAAAAATATGAGTTTGGTGGGCAAGTCAACGGTTAACGTGTCCATAGGAAAAGTCAAAAGGTATGATGCACTCCTAGCCCAAGTCACCGTGTCATTGTTTATAAGTTACTCAAAAATCAGATTAGTGATGCTGATGCCATTGCCATTTGCCAAGTGCCAGCCAAAATACGACTAGAACCTAAAATCATACTAGTCAATAAATCTCTATTATAAAAGATGGTGAACTCTCTCCATATGAGAGACATGTGACCAATCTCCTACTTTCAATAAAAAAGACATGTGGCACGTCCTTTTATTAAATTAAAAATTTCAATTTGGTCCCTAAACATTTGATTTTCTAAGAAAAAAACACAAATTAGATTATGCAATCGCCATCGGCGCATTCGCCAGCGCCGATAACCAAGCTGACAACGGCAATAACCCTTCCGTCTTCCTCTACAACACTCTCATCTCCTCCATCGTCTCTAACCACCAATCCACTCAAACCCATCTCGCGTTTTCTCTCTACGCTCGGATTTTAACCTCTAGATCCGCCGCGATCAGACCCATCCAATTCACCTACCCTTCTCTCTTCAAAGACTCTGGCTTTCAACCATCGGTGGCATCGCCATGGAAGAGCTCTTCATGCCCATGTTTTGAAATTCATCGAACCAGTTAATCACGATCGGTTCGTGCAAGCTGCCCCGGCCTCTCCACTACTCCTCCGGCGTGGTCTCGATCCAATCTTCCCGCCGTCTCCGTATGGACCACATCGTCGATTAGTCATACCGAATATTAGGGTTCATCTTCTCCTTTCGGGAACTTTCGTTGACTCTCAATCACAATGGGCCCAAGACATATCGGGTGCCGTGTCCAAAAAAATAAAACGCTGTGGTTTCGTCTCTTTCCTTTACATCGGCAAGTTCTGAGTTCTGACCGACGATTGGAGTTCTCATCTCATCTCTTTGCCGTTTCTATTTCTCGCCTTAAAACCCCCTTGTAGGAATTTATAAGCTGCTTCGGAAGAAAGAAGATTTGTAGAAATTATTGTTTATCGAAGATGGTTTCTCGCGACCATAACCATTCTCCGTGCAGATCAAACGCCGTAACCCCTTTTCCCGTTCTATGCTACCAAGTTTCATGTCGTTCCAGTCACTGAATCTGACTTCTAGGTGTCTTTCAGTAGCTTGCCAGATTAAATTCACCAAAACCAAAGCTTGAAGAGACTTAACTTTCTCAATAATCTTCCTCACATCAATCTTCTAGAGAAGTTCAACAGCCTCTGGAGACAAGAAGCTGCGTTCTCAGTAGCGAGCAGAGAAGATCGCAAACACAAGATCATCGAAATCGCCATTCCTGAGATCGGAGCTCCTCTTGGAGAATCAAAGATGTTGAAGCTCTGGTTTGTATGATCCATTGTTCTCGCAGTTTTATCAGGTGAGAAGATCTCATCCCACACTATCAACAAATCTTGAAGCACAAACTCTCTCCCAAACCAAACTCGTAGCCAACGAAGACCAAAGTACTGAGGCTAAACACTAAGCTCCACCAAATGGCTATGCAGAGACGAATCAACGAACAATAAGAGATGGTAAAACGCAGTGCAAGCTTCAAGAACCGGAGGTAAACCAGTGTGTGATCCAATAGCTGGAGTGTAAGAGAAGAATCCAGCCATTGAGACACAACCGTGAGCTCCACTCATGAGAGCATCAAACATGCAGTAAGCATCATGCTCCATGAATTTCTCTGACAAGACGATCCCGAGCTCTCCTTCGGCTCCATAAGCATCGCTTAACATAACAATGGATTGGATCTCAGGATCAAGCTCATCTAGACTCTTTGTTTTCTTTGAGTTTCCTTGCATACCACCAATCTCATCGTCTGTGAAATCCTCCAAGAACTTCTTGAAGTCAAAGTTGTCAGTGATATATCTTTCTTCGAACCATCGAATCTGTCAATGAAATGATCTTCGTAACTTTTACGCACTTCAAAGTGACGATCAACATCAACATGAGGTACATAAAGCAACGGAGCCAAAAGCTCATGCATTCCTACAAATAAAAATGAAAAAGAGATGTCAGATTATCCATTACAAAACTAAAGTATACATTTTTAAAGACAGAGCACATGTTGTACCTTGTCGGTATCCGTACTCGGGATGTTTAAGGCACCATAAAAGTAGAATTCGTCTTTGGAAGTAGCTCTCTCCATGATATCTTTGTCAAAACTGAAATCAACGAAGAACTTCGTCAATTTAGAAAAATCAATGATTTAAGTGGCGCCGGAAAATTCCTCCGTTGACACCAGAAGAAGTAAATTTAATCGATATTGAGACCTGAAAGTGAAATGATAACTAAAAAAAAGATAAGAAAAAAATGTAAATTCAGATCAGATCGGAACACAATAAGATAGAGAGAGAGAGAGAGAGAGAGAGAGAGAGAGAGGGAGAATCAATTCTGTTTCACTCTCCGAATCAATGTTTTGAAAATCGGACCGACCCGGTAGTCGGACCAGGTTCGACCATGACCCAGACATGTGACTGGATTAGATTTTCTATCCAGATTAAAAACAATTAAGAGATCAATTAATTAATTATTTTCTTTTATTTATTTTCATTTTTGATTTTTTAAAAACTAATTATATTTGTTTATACTATAAAAAAAACTAATTAGAATAACAAAAATATAAGTTTTTATTTTAAACTCAACAAAAAATTATGATATATCAATTTGAAACTACTTATAATATTTATTTTCAAATTTAATATCAATTATTATGAATTGGGTTCAACCCGGTCGAACCAAATTAAACCATGATCCAAATATTTATCTGGTTCGCTTTCCGCTACGGTTTTAAAAACATTGCTCCGAATCCAAGCAAAAAAAAAGAGAAGACTTTTTGATTTTTTTTTCACACCAGCTCCATGAGAAGGGTTTTTCACAGCAGCAATTATGTGTGAGATTTAAGTTTTAGATTTTAGTTGACATTCATACAAAAAAAAAATAGTTTTACAATTTGAGATTTTGGATTAGGTATATGGGATTTGTGATTTCGAAAATTAGATTTGAATACTTTTGAAATTATTTGTTAGTCTAGATTATGAATTTTATATAATCATTAATTATGTTTAGGGCTTAGAGTTTAAAATTTATCATATAATTTTATTTAAATTTGTTATAAGTGTTAACAAAATAAATATGTAATCATACAAAATATATGATCTTTTATAAGTGTTAGAGTTCTTTCTCATGTAAGGATTAGATTCAAGGGTTTAAATATAAAGATTTGGAATGGCTTTCAAATACCTTTTGTTAATTCTGATTTAATATTTTTTTTGAATAAAAGTTTATGATTTACGATTTATGGTTTAAGTTTAGAATTTCGGGTTTGCCTTTTTAGTTTAGAGTTTATGATTAGGGTATAAGATTTTCAATATGCTACAACTAGGCACAATTTATTTGTGACACATGAAAAACATTTTAAAAAATTTTGATTTTAGAATAAATAAAGAGTTATAGAGATTTATACTTTTACAGCGCTTTAACATATCTGAATTGAATAAGTATAAAATAAAATATATTTACAAAATTCAAATGACAATTAAAGTATAAATAACAAAGTTTTTTTATAGTCATAACCTGCGCATCGGACGGGCTTAGCCCTAGTAAGTATAATGAAGTTTGAAAGTTTTAGTTTAGAAATTAATGTACCTGAATATAAAAGTATAAGCAAATAACTAACTAAGATTTTACTTTTCAATAGAAATCCACTTTTTTGGTAGGGGGACTAAATCCAGTAAAATTCCTTGATCAAATATGTGCACCTAAGTGATAATTTTCTATATCAATATTTGTTAAACTTTTGGTCTATTCATCTTTATACGTTCATCTCCATATCTACAAAATTAATTTCTACTATCTCTAATATTTCATCAATTTTTACGTTCGTGAAAAGAGAGGGAGAACAATTAAAGATAAATCTTGTTCTTGTTTCTTTTTGTGTAGGGTATATCGCAAGCTCAGAATCGGAGCACGTGTTGCTTCTAAATCCATCCTTGTCGACGTCATAGTGCCCTACCATCCTCATAGCGTTCTATCTTAAATTACCAATTTGCCACTTCCAAGAAACTTCTTATCCTCTTTTGGAAACGTGTTTTTTCCCCAAAAGTAACTAATCAAAGAGATGAAGTCTCATAGTTTATCAAATTAATAATTAAAAAAAAAAAACGAGATGTATTAAGGATATTCCAAAACGATGTCTATCAAAAAACGAAGGCATACAACAACACACACCAACCATGCTTCTTCCTTGCCGCGTAAAATCTTTTAAAAATGGAAAACAAAACTTTAATTTCAAAGGTATATTACTTCGACTCGCCATTTAGTTTTATTTTATCGTATTATTTTAGTTAAAAGAAAATGTTACATGTTCAAACAAGCTAGTTTACACTCGTATTTTTTACACACACAAAAATAACTTAGACTAACATATTCATAGGTAAAATCCACTCATATATCTATATATTACAAAAATACAATATTGCTTTTAAATTGATAAACCTTAAAATAATACTCCTATTAGTTACACTTGGAAAGACTAATAGATCATTGACTATGTATTATACTATTATCTAATATTTTGCCAGATTTTATAGTTAATATTATAGAACAAAATATTGGTATCTTGTGGTGCACTATTCTTCAATGCATATAGAATCTCTGATAGATAAAAGGCTGTATCAAACATGTTTTTCTTTTTGTCTTTTTATGAAGTTATCAAACAAGTTTTACGCGGTGCAATTGCAATCTCTCAATGAAACAGTGACCAGTAAACGCTTTATCCGAATAAAATATTACGAAAAATAATAAAATAATCAGAAAAAGAAAGTCAAGTCACCGTCAAACCCATCCGCGCTCACCGCGTTCACACCTTCACGCGCTTCCTGCGTCCTTTCTCTCTGTATTTCTCCCTTCGCAGACAAAGAAAACTTTTTTATAAATGTCTGAAACCAGAACCATAAAACCCAAAATCGTTGTCTTCAACTTTCAAACACTTGCAGCTGATAAATTGATTTCACATCTAAAGAAAGTCAAACACTTTTCAAACATTTCGTCAAACTCTGAAAAAACTAAACCTTTATTTCCCCCTTTAATGGAAATCTCTCCTTTCCCATTTCCATACCTACAAGACGACGAGTGTTCCCATTTCCTTGGTCTATTTCACGACATGGACTCTTCTCCTTCTGACTTCGGATTCGAAGGTTTTGGCAACGACAATACTAACCCTAAGAAACGCCCAAGAAAGGAAGACGAAGACTTAGCAGGAGAAGGAGGAGGAGGAGCTGTGAATGGTAACAACGCTGCGTTTGGAGATATACTCGCGACGCTTTTGCTCTTGGACGAGGAAGCAAAACAGAAACAAGAGCAGTGGGATTTTGAATCCATCAGAGAAAAGTCTCTTCTCGAAGCTAATCACAAGAAGAAAGTGAAAACAATGGATGGTTATTACAATCAACTACAGAATCATTACTCTGCAGCTGGAGAAACCGATGGTACTCGTCCCAAACGCGCACGAAAATCTGCCGTTGCTGCGGCGGTTTCCGCGGTGGTTTCCGGCGAGGAAGCAACCGGTGCTCCGGTTCCGGCGGCGGATATCCCTAGTGGTTCCGGGTCTGCCCCGGGTCATAGGAGGTTGTGGGTGAAGGAACGGACGACGGATTGGTGGGACAGAGTTAGCCGGCCGGATTTTCCGGAGGAAGAGTTCCGGCGGGAGTTTCGGATGAGCAGATCGACGTTTAATCTGATATGCGAGGAGCTAGACGCGACGGTGACGAAGAAAAACACGATGCTTCGCGACGCGATTCCAGCTCCTAAACGCATTGGCGTTTGCGTTTGGCGTTTGGCCACTGGAGCTCCGCTTCGCCACGTGTCGGAGCGGTTCGGGCTCGGGATCTCCACCTGCCACAAGCTAGTCATCGAGGTCTGCCGCGCGATCTACGACGTTCTGATGCCGAGGTATCTCCGGTGGCCGTCCGATTCGGAGATCCAATCGACGAAAGAGACATTCGAATCGGTCCACAAAATCCCAGACGTCGTCGGATCGATCTACACCACACACATCCCGATCATCGCTCCGAAGGTCCACGTGGCGGCGTATTTCAACAAGAGGCACACCGAGAGGAACCAGAAGACGTCGTACTCGATTACCGTCCAGGGAGTGGTTAACGCCGATGGGATCTTCACCGACGTTTGCATCGGAAACCCAGGATCTCTCACCGACGACCAGATTCTCGAGAAATCGTCGCTTTCCCGGCAACGAGCGGCTCGTGGGATGCTACGCGACAGCTGGATCGTCGGAAACGCCGGGTTCCCGTTGACCGACTGGCTCCTTGTGCCGTACGCGAGGCAGAATCTGACGTGGACGCAGCACGGATTCAACGAGAACATCGGCGGGATCCAGACGATCGCGACGGCGGCGTTCGAGCGGCTCAAGGGACGGTGGGCTTGTCTGCAGAAGCGGACGGAGGTGAAGCTTCAGGATCTGCCGTACGTGCTCGGTGCTTGCTGTGTGCTTCACAACATCTGCGAGATGAGGAAAGAGGAGATGACGCCGGAGCTGAAGTTTGAGGTCTTCGATGATGTTACGGTGCCGGAGAACAATCTCCGATCTGCGGTTGCGGTTAACAAGAGGGATAACATCTCTCACAATCTCTTGCATCGTGGCCTCGCCGGCACAAGAACTCTGTAGCTATGGACTCTGTTTTTCTTTGAAATGATTTTTTATTGCAAATTCTTTTTCCAGAATAGGAATAAACAAACAAACAAGTATTTTAGAGATTGGATACAAAAGCATAGTGGAAATGAGCGTAGAATTGGCAGATTTTGTTTGTGTTACTATTAGCATTGTGTAATCTTTAGTTCATTTATTTCCTATACAAATCAAATTTGAACCTTCTCAACTCTCAAGCTATAAGTTATTTTTCTTTCAATGTTTTCACGAAATAGGAGGAAAAAGACATTCCGTTATTGATCGAAAAGTACCATTACATGTTCAGGCTCAGACAAAAGTACAACGATTAGTTAATGGAAGTTGTACAAAATCTGTTTGTTTATATTCATGACTTAAAAAGTGGGCTTTCTGGATCTTTCTTCTCTGTTTTACAATTCCCAATGGGGGTTTCTCGTTTTGCATCTGCATCACAGCATAAGAAACTCTGTAGATTTGGTTTTAGTCAAATGATGAAATCCTACTTCGTTGATCGGTTGATGCATTTGTTCTTCTATTTGGGAATACGATTTTTTTTTTCCAGAATATATGGAGAGGTAAAACAAAAGTAGCAACTATGAAAATGTATCACAAACGGAAAAATTTCGTCTTCTGAATGATTCGGAGCGAAAAGATACAGAAAGATTGCATGTTCCATTTTTGCTTCTTAATCAAGGTGGTAAGTTCTGTAATAATGTTAATCTGGGGTTACTATATGTTAAAAGAGATAAGCATGTTTATTAATCATTATTTCTTGGCTAATGTGTGATAACTGATAACAAAGGAATGGCAGATGAACATGCTACATATGCATTTACCTTCTTCTTTCACATGGCATATGCGATATAAATTTTATATTTGATGTTAATTACAAAACACTGTATTTAATGAAAAAACAAACATTTAAAACCTCCTCAATATTCATTTCATTTTACATAATGAACATTTATATATTTTAGAATCCATCTTTAATTTTGTGTTTAACTAATTAAACATGTTAGTTTTTTTTTTGACGGCATTAAACATGTTAGTTAAGTGAAGCAGAAGCCATCGATTTAACAGAATACATAAACAAATGAAATTGAATAATCAAGACAATGATTATTAGTCATGATTCAATAATATATAATCTTAAAGATCCTAATTATGGTTTTATAATATATGTAATCAACATATAGTTGCTTTGAACAAATCTGATTATCTGAATGCAATTAAGATGACATCACAGATGAAATATTCTTAAACTTTAGAAAATGTGAGATTTAATTGAATGTTGGATTTACAAGAAAGATATTTTAAACTTTTAACGAGAAATAAAACAAAAATAATTGGAAACGAATAATTTATTGTGATTATCCAATTTTGTTCGGACAATATATAAACAGTAAAAAGCGTCATTCGTCAATCGTCACAGCTTCGTTCCTTAAAAAGCCATAAGCTACTTTCAAGCCGGCTTGACTCCTAATTTACCAGATTATCCCTACTGTCACCATAAGGGACCGGTCCTCCTCTGAGATTATCCAATGGGTAATATCGTAATTTCGAAATAGCCATTTTCCATTGCCGATCAAAAACAAGCAACCAACGAACGCGCGGTTCGTCTCGATCCCGTCCTCTCACGGCTGTTGCAGGGACATAGTTGGATTTCAATTTCCGATTTCGAGCTCTTCGCCTACTCTTCTGAAACCGATCCAATCTCGGAAGTCCCTGATTTCGGGGGAGAGATTTCGTAACTCCGGGAAACTTATCATTTTCCCCTTCACGCGATTTTGATTCAGAGGTACGAGGTTTCGCTCTCGTCTTCTATCTTTGAAGTTTGATCCGGGTTTTGGGGCTCCGTTTCTCTGGGTTTATCCTCCTTATTGAAGATGATTGACTTCGTCTCATGAAGTTCGTATGATTTTGATTCACTTCTCTTCTAGGGTTTTCTCGTGTTAAGAGTTTCCCTGGATTAGTTAAGCTCTGAATTTTGGTCATTTCTAGTTTATTGGGCGTTTTGGTTATTGAAGTTTGATTATGGCGAAAAACACGAATTTTCAGGAGAAGGGTCGGTTCAATTTTTTTTCTTTTTGTAATTTTGCTTGGAAAAGTAATCTGTCTCAAGTTGAGGCATTTAGTTTCATAATTAGTTGGCAATGCAAATAAGCCGTGAAGAAGGCAATTAAGGAAATGGAAGATGATTCAACACCATTCTTCTGGATCTCAGTAAGAGAAAGATAGGATAGTTCCTGAGGAAGTAGGTTAGGCTTATTTGGATACCATCTCGATTCTTGTGTAGTTCACTTTTCGACTTTACTAGAGCTTTTCGCATTTTTGAACATTAGCTAAATTGGTAAATTCAATTTTTTTTCCCTTATTTGGTTTTAAGCTCTTGAGTTGGCTGGTAGGTTCGTTGCTTAATTTTAGAAGAAATATTTGATGATGTTATGGATCTGAGCATGATTTTCTGGAAATTTCTGGCTTTAGGAAGAAATTTATGTGAAGAACCCAAAGTACTCTGAAACCACATTTACGAAGTCTAGTGTTTCTATATATGAATAGATTTGAGAATTTGGTTGGTGCAAACCAAATTCATGCTGCTTGTTTTCATGTATGCTTACAAATATCTTTTGATTGGTTTGTCTCGCAACGCCATTGTTCTGGAAGCTTGTCACTGAGGTTTTGATTACACTTGTGACTTTGCAGGTGCGCCTTCACGTGCATTCCAATTCGACAGCTGAGAATTTAGCATTTATGTGCTGCAACTCTGCAAGCTTGTCATGTGGCACTGCGTGTATAGTGTTTATAAATAAAACAGTGGACTTTAGAAAGCTAAGGGAATGTCAGCACCTGGGAAGTTTGATTATTCTTCTGGTGGGCCAGATAGGCCTTTATACAGGTCTAACTTAGCTTCACAGATGGAAAGATCCAGTAGCTTTCGCGAGACGATGGAGCATTCTGTCTCATCTTCTCACCCGAGCATGTTGAGGAGCACTTCACCGTTAGCACAAACCGATGTAACAAATTTCTTCCAGTGTTTGCGTTTTGATCCTAAGGTGGTTGCCGCGGATCACAAGTCTATTCGTCAAGGTGACTTTAAGCGTCATGTCAATATTGCTCTTGGGATTCAAGGAGATGAATCTCCAAGCACGACGCTGAAAGGGAAGTTAGTTCCATCTCCTATACCAGAAGAGATCAAAAGACTAAAGGCTGGTCTACGCGAAAACAATGTGAAGGCCAGGTAGTCTATTATGATAACAAAGTTAATAAATCTTGATTTGAGTTCTGTTTACCTATTTGAATTTCTGTTGTTGCAGGGAGCGTGTGAAAATTTTCAACGAAGCTTCGTCTGTATTTAACAAGTTTTTTCCTACTGTACCTACAAAGAAAAGGTCTCGACCAGAAGGGTATCCTAATGACCGCTCTGGTGATCGCTTGGCTTTAGGGCCAGGTTTAGGTAAAATGGGAATTCAAGGTCTGACTCCGCCTGGTTGTTTTGAGCTTGACCAGCAAAAGGTGGACGAACGGCCTAAGAGTGGTGCACTAAATAAGCGGACACGTACGTCCATGATGGATGTTCGAAGTAATGCTATTGTTCGACAATCGCCTGCTGTAGATAGGGATAAAGACACAATGAGGATGGCAACTCATAATGCAGTTCAGGGTGAAGATCGGTCTTCAATTGGTATCGATGGTTGGGAGAAGTCGAAAATGAAGAAAAAACGATCTGGCATAAAAACAGACGGTCCTTCTAGTCTGGCTTCAAATAAGGCTGTTGATGGTTACAGGGACTTGAAGCAGGGGATACCAAAACCAGCTGGTGATTCCCGGTCAAGATTGAATGGTGACTCGAACATATTAAGGTATGGCCTATTAGATCATAACTTTCTGGTCCAATGCTGACTTTTAGGATCTTTTAGTTTGACTATTTTTTCCAAATTACCTCTTTAAGCTTCTTTTGTTTTGTTAAGAATTCATTGAATTAGGCAAGTGGAAAAGAACAAAGTTGATTCAGTATTAAATGGGTTTTTTTGTGCCTCAAACCCTGAAAGATTTTTCATAATTTTTTGGGTTACTCATTAGCCATTTCTGGTGCAATTTATCATAATCTGTTCTAGTTTTGCTAATATATACATCGTTTTGGAGTTTATTAGGAAAAATATTTTAGAAACGGGATTTCACTAAATTAAATGGACAGCTATTCGTTTCCTATTTTGAATGATTATATCATTTCTTATAGAAGTAAACACTGGATTGATAAGCCTTTACGCTCTCACGAAATTCTGTATGTTGAGATGCAACAACAGTGCCTTCTGATTATCACTACAATTTTCTTAATGGTGCCTTTGTAAACGTAATCAATGACCTTGATTCAACGATTGCTTTAATCTATCCCTTTGGTTATGGAGTTGAGGTTGGTGGCTGATAATATGTCAAAATCCTGTGTGTTTAGCACAATCATTTTTCCGTGTTCTGTGACTTCTGTCAATGAAGGTTATTGCGGCTCTCTTTCAATTTTCATTCAATTGGTTAATGTTTATGTTTGAATTACGTGTGTAGGCATGGGGCAGTGAATGGTGCTGTTCCATATGGAAGATCTGATAGCTTCTCTCAGCAGACAGGCTTGGCAGGGCGTTCCTTGCTCTCCAGGGATTCTGATCACAATTCGTTGTATGAGAAGAGAGAACGAGCCATTGGTTCTGATAAAGAAAGGGTGAATCTTAGAACAATCAACAAGTATGTGTTAACAAACTTCTAGATCACATTCGTCAGTTTTCCTAGGCTCTGTTCTTTCTGATGGTTTATTATGTTCTTGTTACTCTCCGCTGGGTTCTTTTCAGGTCAAATATTCACGATGAATCTAATTCTTCAAGCCCAACTTCAAACCCAAAAATAAGTGTTTCAGTTCGTGGTCCGAGATCGGGATCAGGGCTGCCACCAAAACTTTCTCCGGTTGTCCACAACACTCCTTCTCCAAGTGATTGGGATATTTCTGGCTGTAC